AGTAAGCTTACAGTTAATGATTGCAATGCGTATACTTCGTTGTACTACAGTACAGTACTTCGTAGTACAGAACAGTACCTGGTACTGCAAAAGGACGATATTTGACACTTTATATTCTGCAGTACAGTACATGGTACTGATACAGTATTAGTACTTCTATTCACAGTTAATAGTACCGTACAACTACTAAGTAGTAGTACTACTACTTAACAGGTATTAATAGTACAGCAAATAAGTACTAACGTAGATGGCCAGTTTATGGTGCACTTGAAAGAGAATTCGTTGTAGAATGCAGCTTACTCGTCTCCCAGGACCGGGATTTCAATTCTGAAAAGTGCCGCATGAAGCCGAAAGGTTGTGCATTCTTCTGATTATTTAATCGGCTTGAATAGACTTCCGCTTAGCGTTCATTTACTTCGATTCCACTCAAGTCAAGGCAAAATAGGAGGGACGGTTTATGGTGCACTGTTTAAGCTTAAAATATGTATGCTGTTTTTGCTTATTTTTTAGTTATTTCATTTTTCTAGTGATTCAATTGGCTACTCCAAAAATTAAGCAATTTCACTGGCCAATTTGAAAGCACCTTCAACTGTCTCGTGCACCATAAACTGGCCATCTACGTTATGATGATTGATTTTCACTGTGTTTCCTCATAATTTTATCAAGCTACGTAGTATATCTGATTTATAGGAGAATTATCCATAGACAAAGGTTTGTACAAATGCAGTAGCCCATTCGGCGATATCGTAAACAATCATTGATTTGCCGAACGTCTTGCCGTCTTGCCCGATAAGATGCCAGAATTGATATGATTGGAAAATACAATTTCCGCAGCAATGAAACCCTTGGTTAGTTGATATTATACGGGAAATTTTGAAATAGATTTTCAACCTTATTCATAGGCACGTTGAGCGCACGATACATATTGGCTTTTATAAATAGATATTTGTATCGTTTGCTCGAAGCATTTCCAATACAATAATCAGATCTATATTTCGTCGTATCAATGATCACTGTTTGGAGTGGCCATCATTACGATTTTATTACTTCTATTCCAAACATTTTAATTCCCTTCTATCTCAATCTAACTAACAGTGGTCGACAGCGTGGTGGGGTCTTTCCCCATATAAATTGCAAAACAAATGCTAAAAATAAATGTCAGGTGTGGAAATGAAGCTCCCAGCCTGAGCTATGAATTCAAATTCATTTGACACTCCGAATGACGATATTCTCGACAACTCGATCGATGAAAGTTCAAAATAGAGGCTAAAATAACTTTAAGACCGTATAACTCTTCACATTCTATAAATACCTACCTAGCCCAGTCATAAAATTACCGAGAGGTTCAACATTACTAACACATACCATGAATTACAACGCAATTCTTTACCACAGCCAAGCTGATCCAACCATGCCCACAGCCGCCGAAGAACTGAGTAACATCAACCGCGCCATTGCGAGCCCTCACTCAATTTGGTGAATTATACTGTGTTTGAAAGGGAATTGCATGAATTTTCGCAAAAGATTGGTTTATACTCCGCGCTTAAAGCAATGGTAAACCAATGAAATATTATAAATATTGGATATTGAGAGAAATCGAAGAATTACAGCCAATAAAATGCAAATGTTGCGAGTAATTTGGAATATGCGAATTTTGAAATGTCGGCAGCATAGATACAGTAACCTGGAACAGAGGAAGTACAAGCGTTTTACAGTAAGTCACCAGTTCAGAAACCGATAGTTATTATAAATGGGAGTCTCCATTGCAAAGGACTCGTGCACACAGTAGGCATGATTACATCTGACCAGTGTACGAGTCACTTCATCATCAATCGACTTTCAGGGGGTACGACAGGGTATACAATCAAAAATGCTCGTATATCGAAATTGACTCGGGTATTGCTCAAAATCAAGTCACTGATCAAAAACAAGGATGTGGACGAATTTTAATGAAAGGTTTTATGTATACTTGATCTTTGTATTGGTGAGGACGTGATCAACCTTTTCATGGCGAGCCTGGTGCAATTTACGCCAAGATTTGCCTTTTTGAACAGTCACTTCTTCGAGAGCATGACGAACGATCCAAGTCTCGAACAAGCCAACCGAATCCTAAGAAGGTCATCCTACGGCGTGCAAACGCGATGTGTGATCTTTCCCATCTTTGTTCCTGGTCACTGGATGCTTGGTATCCTCGATTTTACCCACCAGTGTTACGTCTTCTACGACTCGTTGCACAGTCCCCGTCCGACAGTCCTGACGACCTTGCAACGCTTTGTCGATACCCTGGATGGGCGTCAAGGTCAATTACACGGCATGGAGATTCCTGGACCCCAACAACATAACGGCTACGATTGCGGAGTCTTCGTTTGTATTGCTGCAAAGCAATTCATTCAGACCTACAGCGCTGGCCCTTTTGAGCATGACGACATGGCAGTTTGGCGATTGCACATCCTCAACTGCATTGCTCACTTACTGCCATTGGCGCCCCGGCTTTAACCTTGCATAGATGTAGATGTTACACGAGAAAACAACGAGAAACCCCATAAAATAAGTAGATATTGCATGCGAAAAAATAATAAAGACTAGAAAAAGGACGCATTGTAAACTTTCCTAAGCAGACATTCGCTTCGTACTCCTGTAAGTGTCGAATTCTAGCACGCGTACACGACAAGTGCACTTTCAAGAGTGATGTATATTGTCTCCGAGGAACGTGTATAACAAGACCGTTTGGTCCAAATAAGTGAATAACGTTCTAGGCAATGCAACGGTAGTGTCGATGGAATATAAAGGCTCTCATAAGCACACAAGTTGTTTCGTTCGCAGTCTCCTCTACGATAGCCCATGGTGGTACCTACGGTCATGCATGTACTCATTAGTGTGGTATCTGTTCCAGCTATGACATTGTAGCTACAATTCCATGTAGCTGCGACCGTGCAGCTACAGCCCCAGGCGTTACAAACAAAATCCTGACTACAATTAATGTAGCTACGACCTTGTATGTACCCCTCAGAGTGGTAGCTAGGACGTTGTAGCTACACGTCAATTTAGCTTCGATCTTGCAGCTACAGGTTACTGTTGTAGCTACGGTATGGCATTGCAGCTACAATTCCATGTAGCTGCAACCATGCAGCTACAATTCCATGTAGCTGCAACCATGCAGCTACAGCCCGAGGTGTTACAAACGAAATGAGACAACCGTCAAAATGAGTCATAATAATCAATGCATACTTTAATCAAGTTCAACGTACCTGTCAAGATACGTCACATTGAGCAATCTCAAGATATTCAATGTACTATTTAAAAATACATCATAATAATCCTTCAAGATGTGTGCAGTTGAATAGTACACGTAGTATTCTGTCAGTATACGTGCAGTACATTCTACGTAAGTACTACGTAGTACGTAGTTCTAGTTTATGTTAACCAAGTGAAGTAACATTCAAAACAGGATACTCTACCATACGAAATCGATAGAGGAATTTGGCTATACTACAAAGTCGTGCGCACTAAAATCATAGAGTAATTGGACGATTCACAGGGAGACAGCGCCCAAAGCGTAAGCGGTATACAATTCGCAGTCTCTCTGCGTTGGGGTATTCGCAGTCTCTCTGCGTTGGGGTGAAGATTTCGGATCATGTATGTTGTTGTCGTTGTCGATGTTTTCGATTGTGCGCAATAC